CGTAGTGGTGGAGACAAACTGCAGTGATTGGCCAAAGCAGAGCGAAGGCGCAGACAGGAGCAGCGCTGCGCACTCTGATTGGTCCATGGACAGTACGTCAAATACATGTTCGTATTCCCCAGCAACTGCGCTTCGATAGCCGCTTCACACAGCTCCTCCTACCTGTCCCTGTCTTATGTAGGCTATCTTCCAACAATGATGCCCATTTCTGTTGGCGTTCTTGACCGTTTCTTGCCAAAAGGACCAATACATTTGGACTGAGCTGTCTGCGTAAAGGTAGGTTATGTGCGCTTGCCTTTTCTTATGTTGGGCCGCCTCTGCCAGTATTTGCAGTAGAACCGTGCCATAGCCGGGGATGTGTCGCGTCCTGTCGAGTTGTGCACCGCCGATTGAGGGATTATTCTCGTTTCCAGAGCCAAACAGGCGCATGGAGGAACTCAAGTCTGTCATACGCGCTGAATTACTGCATGGGTTCTCATTTTCTTTTACTGTGCAACCCAGGTGCACGTTCATGTATTTGCCCATCGAAGTAGTCGTTTGACTATTGAAAGAGCAGTCATTTGTAGTCAAGCATTATTCCTACCAATAAATAATTTAATGGATTTCTAGCCTTGGGTGTGGACAGCGGATGGGGTTATGTTACGTAACGTCCTCTCATTCATCTTCCACGCCTCTCCCTGAACCCCGGCCTGTGCATCCTACACAGCCTAATCTCTCCGAGCCCACTGCTGTCCACAGTCCTGGACCACCGCATTAAATAACTGATGTGATCCGTCACGTGATCAGCCTAAACCCTACTCTCAGATGCAAATGCCTTTTTGTAGGCTAAAGGCCAACAGCCAAAGTCAGTGTGTCTCAGAATAGCCAACGCTGTCATTTCACGTGTGGTCATACATGTGAAACTGACTGAAAACGGCAAAAGAATAACAGGTGGCAGGTGCGTAACATAAATAAACCTTAGGTTTCTAATTTAATATATAGCATCACTGTTGGTGATGATGACGATGATGATGACGAATATTTAGCTGCTTCTACAGAAGTGTGGAGGCCTCTAATGTGATAGCCCTAGGTGAGCTATCTTTTGTAGTAAAATGAGCTGCAGGCCTTTTTTCATTAGAACACACATCAATGGACGCAAAACCTAATCTTATGATGTTATTTACATGCACATCATCTTCCCTATGGTATAGTTTGTATATAATATTAGATATAGCTTGCATTTTTCCTTATCAGAATTGGACTCATTGTCACCTGAATATTACCAATGAGTTACTTAAAGCAATATAATAATAAAAATAAAAAAAAAACTTAACCGGACATCTAATTAAAATACACAAGGTGCAAAAACACCTCAATATCAGGCCCATGACAGATTGTAATCTTTGACAGACTGTACACAGTAGCAGCAGGTTATGTCCTCTCTACTGATCCCTCTCTCTCTCTCTGCCCCAGTCCAACATGGCGACGGTGGTGATGGAGCAGATCGGACGGCTGTTCATCAATGTGCAGCAGCTCCGTCAGATCCCTCAGCTCCTGGAGTCGGCCTTTCCCACGCTTCCCTGCACCGTCAAACTCTCCGATGTGCCCAAGGTCTTCCAGGAGCGCTACATCCTCACTGGGTACAGGCAGACGGACCAGAGCTGGCGCTACTATTTCCTTACCCTCTTCCAAAGGCACAATGAAAGCATAAATGTGTGGACTCATTTGCTCACTGCTCTGATTGTTCTGGTCAAGTGTCAGGAGATCTCCCAGACAGTGGACTTCTTACGGGACCCCCACGCTCAACCGCTCTTCATCATCCTCCTCACTGCCTTCATCACGCTCTCCTTCAGTGCACTTGCTCATCTTCTGAGTGCCAAGTCCGAGTTGTCCTTCTTCACTTTTTACTTTTTGGACTACTTGGGTGTTGCAGTTTATCAATATGGCTGTGCAGTTGCTCACTACTACTATGTGATAGAAGAGGACTGGCACACGAGAGTCCGCGGGTTTTATCTACCCACTGCGGCTTTCCTGTCATGGCTAACATGCTTCGGCTGTTGCTATGGCAGGTACTCGAGTCTTGAGATGCCTAAGTTTACCAACAAGCTTTACCAGTTGGTTCCTTGCACCTTAGCCTACTGTTTAGACATCAGCCCAGTTGTTCATCGTATCTACAGCTGCTATCAGACCGGCTGCTCTGACCCTGCAGTGCCGTACCACTTTTACCACACAATACTATTCATCGTCAGCGCCTACTTCTTCTCCTTCCCCCACCCGGAGAGCCTGTTCACGGGAAAGTGTGACTTTATAGGCCAGGGTCACCAGATTTTTCACGTTCTGATGGGGGTGTCCACGCTCATGCAGATCGCAGCGCTACGCATGGACTTTACGGACCGCCGCCCCCTTTACGAGCGTCTCCATGGCGACCTGGCTCATGACGCCGTGGCGCTCTTCATCTTCACCAACTGTTGCTCTGCGCTCACTGTGTTTTATGTGCGGAAGCGTGTAAAAGCATCTCTCCAAAACAAACGGGACTAATGATAATGTCATATACTATAATCTCATCTCAAATGTAAATTGCTTTTTAAAAGGTGCAGTATAAAACTTTTAAGGTGGAGGGTGTGTCATTTGTCTGTCAGCATGGAGATGTTATTACTTTGCACTGAATAGCATTAAATTTATCTATCAGCATGGATACACGATGATGCCACCAGGCCAAGTTGCAGGTGACTGCTTTCTCAAAAAGAGAGAATATTTTTATGGTACTTTTTACCAAGTAAAAAACATAAAAAAAAACTCATATTGACTAAATGATAGATAAATTCAATGCCATACTGTAGAACATTCCAGGCAAGGCAATGACATCTCCAAGGAGACAAGAAGGTAGTGTACCTGCCACCAGAAAAGTTGCATAGTGCACCTTTAAAGATTCCATATTATGCTAAATTAGGCATTTTCACTCAACAAGAAGCCCTTGCTTTTTTAGCACTTAATTTATAGTTTACTTGATTGAACAAATACAACAAACATAGATTAACATGTACCCACAAGTACCCACTATATATACTGTATATTGAACCCAAAAAGTATTGTTCCATGCATCTTTTATTGAACCATAAGCTGACAATAATAATCATCATGACAGGCCTACAAAGACTGGGAACACAATTACCAGCCTATTTATGTTTTACTTTTATCCACACATGCTTGAGAAGTCCTGCTTGCAAAAGGTTCATCTTGACCGCAACCAGGAAATTTACTTTATTCTTTAACAAGTTTTATTTAAACACCATGGGACTCTCTTTGATCATTACAGCAATTGTAAATACTACAAACAATAAGCTCATTTACTGGATCTAGGGCTTGAAAATATGACAAAAAACAAAACAAAACAAAAAACAAGTGGTTTTGAAAATGAAATTCCTGAACATAAATAATAGATATTTTTAGTCATTGCCATTTAATACAAACACATATATATACTGTATGTCTTCCTCAAAACTCTTAACTCAAACCACTTGCCTTTACTGACAGAGAATTGGCTGTAGACATCACAATAACTGGCTCCATCTATTAGGGTCACATAGCTAATAGTTGTACTAAAAATCATCAATCTCAGGAAAACAGACTGCCCCAAAATGTTTTCCACACATATCCGTTTGTTTTTTAAGCCTGATAAAGCATAATATGGGCTCCTTACATATGACTGTAATGCAATATAATGTGTTCTGCCAAAACAAATGAAATAAGTAAAGCTTTTATAAGAGGATTTTTATGTGGTGACAGAAAGTCTATCATGCACATTTCAGCATTTAACTTTATAATTGAAGATGGCAAAAACAGTATACATTTTCTCATTGATGACATAGTTTGTGTTATTTTGTATTTCTAAATTAAATTGTCGCATTGAGAATATACAGTACATAACTTATATCATTATGTTATTTTCTATTAAATGGTCTGCCAGGTACCTGTTTGTCCCTACATTTCTAACATTTTCACATTTATACACCACATCTTGTATTCTACAAAACAAGGATATTATGTGAACACTGACAATTGTGCCACATATGTAGAGAGAGATTATTTCAAAATCAAATCTTGCACCTCAAATGATTCTTCATAATTTAGCACTGAAGCCTTTTGTAATTTTATTCAACAGCCGTTTTTTTCATATTTGCCTTTCATTTCCAACACATAAACACTAGATTTACATTGCTGGCTTTTTAATTTGGTTAGTCGGATTTGACAGTCAAAAGTCAATGTTAGTTGTGTGGAGCCCTTATCTCTTTGCATCTCATGGTTTCTTTCTGTCTGATGAAAACGTGTGCCTCTTCGCATGTTGTATTACTGTAGACGTACTGTGGGAACTGATGTAGCTTTGCACTTATTTCTTACCTTGTATATAAGTATTTATCTTTTTATTTATTTACAGTCAAACAGCACTTGGAGTGTTGACGGTGTTGCTATCCAAAACAGTAATGCAGACTACATTTCACCTGGTGCACTTCTTTTTGTTGTTTTATGCTCTCCAAAATGTGACATTAGGCTATATACGAAATGTCCGATATTATTTATATTTAACCTTTTGTTTCACATGATGTTCAATGTGCCAATGAATCTGTTTCAGTGATGGTACTTCTGGATAATGATTGAGAATGATACTGATTTTCGGACTTGACATTTGCGTATTTACACTACTGACTATATATTTGAATCCTATAAACACCTTACACTGCCTGAAACACTGGATATCTGTAGCTGACTATGTTTACACACTCGTTTTGCTTTTAGTAATCTTATTTTTTCCACATTTAGGCTTTTTTTTTTTACAATGAAAATGAGAGAATGACTTTAGGTGCACTTGACCTGAAACTGGTTTCAACCGGGGTTTTCTTGATACGTTGCTGCACTCAAAAGACTCCAATTTATTATTATTATTTTTTTATTATTTAAAACTAGAAAGACTAATATTTTGTGGGCATTTTAATATTTATGACCATAATTATTTATGCAGATGTCTATATGTAATACCTCATATTGAATTGCAGCATAAATTGTGTGTAAGCATAGCCTGACCTTTACCTTGGAGAGCAGAGTGCGAAGGACCAGAATGTCTCCTCTTCTGTATGTGACTGTTCTAATGTCAAGTGGTATTTAAGACAATAAAGTGTTTCAGAAATTTTACCTTTGCTCTTTCAATTTAGTGGTTATTACAATTTTACATTACAATGCCTCATGTTTTAAGAAATATTGTGCAGGACTATACTTGCGTCTCTTGGACCTACAGTATACATTTGGAAGATATTTGCTACTCTTAAACACAATCAAGTAATATTTTATTGTCTCCACTAGAGGGCAGCATTGTTGTTTTGAAGATTCTGCCAGAGACTATTCAAAACACTCCTTTTAAGACAAGGTGGTTTTGAAGCAGATTTTCAGATGAACAGGGTTTTTTGGGGACATGAGACGTGCTATTTGTCTTCTGAGTCGTGTATGTCATTTATCAAACAACTAAGTAGTGTAGACACAGTTCTTAGTCATAAAGAGCAACACTTTGTCACACACTGTCGTGTTCTTACAGTAAAATATTGAAACTGGACAGAATTCAGTATGAATTGCATGACTGATTAAACATGGTAAATTCTTATATTTTAAGTAGTCCTCAAGTGGGGTGTAAATGGCTGAGTGGTTAGAGCTTGTCCTTTGTGTCCTTAGGCAAGACACCTAGTATGAATGTGATGTGTGCATGAGGGATTGGTAGTGCTGGCACAGATTACTTCTGTCAGTGTGTGTGTATGTATATATATATATATATATATATATATATATATATATATATATATATATATATATATATATATATATATATATATATATATATATATATATATATATATATATATATATATAGTATAAACAGGGCAGCTGTGGCTATAGTAATTTGCCACCAGTGAGTATGGAGTGAATGAATAATGACTACAGTGTGGCACTTTAGAGACTTAGATAAGTCTGTAAAGCGCATTACAAGTGGGAATTATTATATTAGTCCATAGGGGGCACACTCGTTTTTCATTAAATGATAAAGGAACCAGTGTGGCAACACGTGTTTGAAATATTTTACACATTGGGCATATATTGTTGCTTTGGGTATTATGCTTAAGCCATCTGGTGCCTGCTTTGTAAATACAACAGCATTTTCTTAATGTAAAGTAATTCACAAGAGTCAAAGATAATTATTCCAGCAAAGATTACAAAACAATATGAGAAGATTCAATAATGTTTTTGCAGCTGCTGACTCCTGTGCCATTGCTGTGGGTGGCGCACTTCTATACATTATGCATATGCATATGCGCCAGCACTCTATACTGTATATTCTTTTTATTAACACAGTAACTGTAATACGTTTGTGTGGGGCTTTGTGTGTTTGTGGTGGGCTTTACAGATGCTTAAGATGTGCACGGTGTTTCTCATATAAGGTAACAATCTCATCAGTGAATCTTCTCTTGCCACTTCCCACACAAACAACAGCAAATTAGCACAGAGTCTTGGTGTGCACTTATATACGATGCTAATTAGAACTTCTACCATCTATGAAGACATGTTATTGAAATTAGCCAGAAGCAGCTTGGTTGAAACACTGAGTATCAGCGTTTCCAATATAATTTCCTTCTCTCTTGGGCCACTTTAGGCATAACTGTGGCCAATGCTGTGTGCTGCTGGAGCCCATCTGTTTCAGAGTTTTAAAAAAATGTATGCAGATCTTTGTTGTAACAAGGAGTCACTGTCGTTGAAGATTTGTTATTAATAGGGATGGGATGAGAAACAATGCCCACAAGACAAGAGATCCAATGGAGACAGGATGGGATTTGGACGTAATACGTAGGCCTAATTATGAAACTGTGTGGTTCACAATTATGCGGCACAATTTTCGATTGATTCCATTTAATCCATTTTGTTTGTTTGTTTTGTTTTTACCAAATTGTAAAAGTACGTCTCACAAAGTTCAGTTTCCACATGTGTGCACAATTTTGTGGCAGCTTTATTTTGCATTATCTTGTGGCATGAGACTTTGTCCCATCACGAATAAAAAATAAAACTCACTGGACACTTGTGTAGGGCAATCAACAGATCTAACCACAGCAAATCTGAACTAGTCAAGAAGATAAATTAAATGTTCATCTTGTATTCTACAAAACAAGGATATTATGTAAAAATCTAAATCAAATCTTGCACCACAAGTAATTCTTCATAAATGTTCACTTGGGTTTCTGTTTCCTTTGCAGTATCATCCCTCCTTATCCCAGCACATGACCAGTACCTCATTTAAAATCACTTTCCATTCTGAAGCTGATTTGAACTTGAACAGGTTTATTAATGATATACAGACATGGACAAAATTGTTGGTACCCCTCTGGCAACGAAAGAAAATTCAACAATCATCACTGAAATAACTTGAAACTGAGAAAACCAATAATAAATAAAAATTTACTGAAAATTGTCCAATAAAAATCAAACATTGTTTTTCACATGTGGTTCAACAGAATTATTAGAAAAAACAAAATATTGAAACTGGCCTGGACAAAAATGATGGTACCCTTAACTTAATATTTTGTTACACAACCATTTGAGGCAATTCTGCAAGCAGACGATTTCTGTGACTGTCAATGAGACCTCTGCACTGGTCAACGGGTATTTTGACCCATTTCTCGTGAGCAAACTGCTCTTATTGTCTTAGGTTTGAAGGGTTCCTTCTCCAGACAGCATCTTTCAGGTCCTTTCACAGATGTTCAAGAGAATTGAGATCTGGGCTCACAGAAGACCACTTCAGAATAGTCCAAAGTTTTGTTCTCAACCATTCTTTTGAGGCATTATCCTGTTGGAAGTCCTATGACCTATGACTAAGACCAAGCTTTCTGACACTAGGGAACACATTTTGGTCCAAAACACCTTGATAGTTTTGAGATTCTGCTGTATTTTGCACAGATTCAAGACACCCTGTGCCAGATGAAGCTATACAGCCCCAGAACATAACCAAGCCTCCTCCGTGCTTTACAGTAGGGACAGTGTTCTTTTCTTGGTGTGCTTCATTTTTGCGTCTGTGAACATAGAGCTGATGTGCCTTGCCAAAGAGCTCTAGTTTAGTCTCATCTGTCCAAAGGACATTCTCCCAGAAGCTTTGTGGCTTGTCAATATGCATTGTGACAAATTCAAGTTTCACTTTTTAATGATTTGCTCTCAGCAGTAGTGTCCTCACATGAAGTCCACTTTGTCTCAAACAGTGATGGATGGTGCGATCTGACACTCAGGTACCTTGCCCTTCAAGTTCACATTTAATTTGTTTGGAGGTTCTCTGCTCTTTGGTTACCATTTGTATGATCCATTTCTTCAATTTGTCATCAATTTTCCTCTTGCAGCCACAGCCAGGGAGGTTGGCTACAGTCCTGTGGACCATAAACTTCTGAAGAACATGTGTAACTGTAATCACAGGAACATCAAACTGCTTGGAGATGGTCTCATTGTCTTTAGCCTGCTTGTTTATTATTTTCTTTCTAGTCTCCTGACACAGTTCTCTTCTGCACTTTCTCTGGTCCATGTTCAGTGTTATTTCCATCATGTCTTCAAATGGCACAATGACACATGTCCCCCTTTAAACAGGTAGACTGACTGAGGACAAGTTTGAAGACAGATTAGAGGACATTCCTAAGTTTAACATGTCCCTGTTCTTCAGTTACTTACATGCATACATACTTACTTTTCTAGGGGTATCACCATTTTTGTCCAGGCCAGTTTCATTAGTTTGTTTTTTTAAAATAATTCTCTTGAACAACAAATCAAAAATAGTGTCTGATTTTCATTGGTTATTTGTCAGGATTTTTTTTATTTATTATTGCTTTTCTCTGTTTCAAGTTATTTCAGTGACCATTGTTCATGTTTCTTTCCATACGAGAGGGGTAACAATTTTGTCCATGACTGTATATTGTATGATTGGTTCATGAATTATATGCATTCAGTACCACCTTAAATTGAGCACATACTAAAATGACTATTTGCATGCTGCTTTGAGTTTTCTCACTCAATTTTTGGTCCTTCTAAGTTGCCCTGAAAATCTCTGTCATCCTCTTCCTCGCGGTACCTATGATTGAATCAAGGTTGCCACGGTGATACAGGGTGGCCTCGGTTTCCCATCGTTTCTGTAATTAAGGCTTTGACTGTGATGGGGAGGGCTTTTGTTCAGACTTATTAAACTGCTGTCGCTCCATTTCGCCAGGTGACACACTGCCAACCTTGTCTTTGATTCTCTGTGAACCTCATCATGGGCTGCCAGATATTTGGCTTGTGTTATTGTATTGTATCACTGATATATTTTCATAAAATGCAAATCCTATGAGGAATCTAATAATAATAATAGAGCAGGGGAAAAATATTATCAGGTTGTAAAATACTCATGAATACAGAGGGAAAAGTATAACCTGTATTCTTCAGTGTTCCTTCTATTTCATTTTCTGCAGGGACAGAGACGGGGATACGAATGTGATACAGAAAGTGTGAAAAACCTTGTAGACCACATGCACCAGTGCAAACTGTGAGCCTTCATATTTCATACTGGTAAAGTGTTTTTTTTCTTTTATTCCCTATGTGTTTTTATTGCTAAAATATGCTGTAGATTGAACTTGTAACTTGATCTGGAGATGGCACCACAAGCTAGCCTGAATCATCAGCCGGTTGGGAATTACAGGTGCAATAAAAATGCAAAGTTTTTATTTGACAAAGAAAGTCCAAAGGTGGATAGCTTATGCAGTCTGCTCTCACAACTCGGGTTGGTTCAGCTCTTCGCTGATTGGCCGGTGTGCCGTCTACAACTTCTGGGGTTCTTGCAAACTGTCTAGTGTATTCTGATTCCTGACCAAGTCGCTGTAGAGAAATAAAATTCAATGGAGGCACTAGGTGGCACTAGCCTCGCTACCCACAAGCAGGCAGGTAGAGAAATTTAATGCCATATTGTGGAACATTTCAGGCAAAGTAATAACATCTCCATGACAAGCGGATGCAGACCCTCCTCCAGAAAAGTTACAAAGTGCACCTTTATTGTCCCTGAAGGGAAATTTGTCCTCTGCATGTCTTCCACTTTGATGCCGCTGGGGCAACCTGCCAGAGCACAATG